TTTAACTTAGACGCAAATTGACTTATCTTAATCCTTATCGTGAGTTGAAAGACAACATTGCCTGCGTACTGCGGTACTGCAAATTTTAAATAATTTATTGGAGTTTCTCGAAAATTCTCTGCAGGCGCTCCTTCAATGAAAAGTATGGCGGCTTTCTTGCGAGGAGGGTTTGGATGAAGTTGGACCCAAACGTTCTAGAACAATCTTTTTCAGGCAGGTGTAGGAGTTCTACTGTTAAGACATGAGCATGTATCAGGTCTTTCGAATGTCAATAATAGCATAATAAGTAACATTTTGATAAACTGAGCATTTATAAATACTTTAAGTTATATTATGCTGAAGATGTTGGCATTTGGAGAGGTGGTGGAAAGAGAAAGGGAAGGAGGTGGGAGAGGAAAAGGAAAGAAGGATTCACAGGTCTGAGCTACAAATTGGAGTTATCTGCTGCAATTTTTTTATTAACCGTGATAGCAATTGTAGAAGAACACCTATTCTAGAATGGAGTTTGTAGCATTTCCTATTCACTAAGCTCGAACATCAGTGAACTTTGTTTCGACTTAAATAAAACTTTTGTAATATATGTGCGCCTGTTCCCTATAGTATGGCAGAAAGACGTATAGAAAATGAATAGAATTTATGGCTTGCGCTAATAAATAGCAACACTTTACAACAACAGACAGCAAACCCGGAGGAATTTGCAGGCATTATCAGAATGCAATGAATATGCAGAAAATATCTTGTTGATGAATCGTTGTATGGGATCAAACATTACTGACCTTTAAGACTATAGATAACGAAACAATGGGCTTACTCAATGCAGGAGTACCCGAGCCTGACCCATGAGACAAAGATCATCTCCGCTGATCACATCATGCATAAAGTACTTGATTTGATATGGTAAATCATTTCTCAAAATGTCGATAATCGATTGGTATGGACTGAAATCGACGGTGACATCGAGCTCTTGATGACCAGTCTTGATTGGACAGGGGACACCTTGTGAGCATGCATCTAGATTGTTCCTAGAAAACACAGAAGCCTATAATAATAGACGCAATTGGAAGTATATATAAGAATTACAGTAGTCCAAATGTAGGCAACACACTCCAATCGCAACCGCCCAAACCAGTACCCCATGACCAGAGATTGAGAGTGAGCTTTAGGTTTGGGGACGAATAGATGTGTGTTGTTGGATTGAATAGTTCGCATTTTACCATCATTGGCTTTCCAAGATGAATTGGATACACATAGTTTTGCCCTATAATGTATTCATAATTCATAATACCTGAAAAATGCCTTCTTTTCTTATCAGCTGAATATTTGATTTCGTGCTACTTTAGCATTTGGCAAAAGTAATCAAGAACAATTTTGTTAAGAATGGGAATTACATTACTATTTATGGTTTTTTGTTTTCTTTTGGCTTTGGTCCAAGTTTTCTTATGCATGATGCAAATGATATGATGAAAGGTGCACCTGTTTGATCGTATGGTGTAGCGTTGAGAAATATCACGGGCCCAGAATTGCATTGATACCAGTGAAATGCTTTGTCTGTTCCATTTGGCCATGTTTTACATGCTATTGCAGTAGTGCACAGGGCTAAGAATAGGATTACTCTCTCCATTCTGAACATTTTGGGCAGATGATGCTCAAATAACATACAGGGACACATCGTGACAGTCTTAAGAATGAAATCCAGGATTGTTTGTGCAAATACCCCATTGAAAATTACGCGCTCAAATAAGTACATATTGCGGAGTAAGATCAACTACCAGATTAACGAAATAGA